TCAGAGGGGTCCTGGCAGTCCATGCGGCGATCGTAAGAGGGTACGTTATGAGCTATTGCTTACATAATGTGTATCGTTTCTCACTCTTGATTTATTTTTTCGTTTTTGTATTTATTTATGGTTATTATTATTTATTATTTTATTTGTATTTGTATTAATTTGCTATTATTATATTAATTGTTGTAATAATGATAATATTAGATATTATTATTATTATTATTATTATTATTATTATTATTATTATTATTATTATTATTATTATTATTATTATTATTATTATTATTATTATATTTTCGCCCCCCAGGCCCTGATGTGGGTCAGTGACCTGTGCCCCGGTGGGCTAATCCCCGTAAAAAAAAAATGATAATAATACTGCTCCCCCCTCCTACCGTCTTCAGGTGCCGTGTGAAGCGCGTGCCCCAAGGATATGAGTTTCTAAATGGGTACTCAGTGGTTGCTTCATTTGTTGGTCTTCATTTTTAAAAGTTAATTGTGAAAGAGAAAATATTTGACCAGAAATATTCTATTTTATTATAATTTTCAATGCTTTGCAAAAAACTGGGAAATCCTGGGATTTTGGGCCCAGAAGCTCTTGAAGATAGACGCTCAGTCACAGAGACAGTAATGGGTTGTATTGTTGCCAAAGTCCCAATACAAAAACAATCATTCTGTCTGTGCCGTCTACGTGCCGATGTGTAACTAGGGACTCCTGGCAGTCATCTCCACATAATCCTTGTTTGGAGGTTGTGATGATAATGTGGTAAGAGTGTGATAACTTAGATGAAAGCTGCGTGTGAAGTGATGAGTGTACTGAATCATAAGCGTCAGCTGCAACCACACATCTTGGCTCTTTTTCCTGGTGCAGTGGTACAGGCAGCCTATTATAGCACACACACACACACACACACACACACACAGAGGGCTTGAACGTCCACAAAGAAGACAAAGGACATCAGAGCTAAAATTAAAATACTGCAGCGTATATACTCCTCCCCGGAGGCCACACTAACCGCATGTTGTATGCATAAACAAACGCACAGTCATGCCATCATACACACACACATACACGTGTAGTATCCGGCTACACACACACACACACACACACACACACACACACACACACACACACACACACACACACACCACAAAAAACAGCCGCATTCTAACCATGTACTGTGGACATTAACACGGGTACATTATGAACAACAGCACGCCGTCCGTGTGACTGTGGTAGTTGGAGAATTTTGAAGCCATATGCAGTTATATTGAAGAAATTAGAACACAGTGTCTGATGGCATTCGTAATGGAAGTGATAATGAAAAACATATTTTTTTTTATCTCAATTTCGTTATTCCATGTAGTTCATTTTTAATCAATATATGTTTGTGGAATTCTAAATATATTATTAGCAACACAAACAATAGCATTCATTAAAAATATATGGTTCATAGGAAAACGAGGTATTCATGAATTTCAAGGAGTAGCTAGCCTAATTTCTATCACGCTTCTTGCTGAACATAGTTTTACGTGATGGAATAGATAAACATGAATTTTAAAGAATGAAAATAAAAATAATCCAAATGAATAAACAAATAAATAAAATATTGTAATATGTGGAGGCCCCCAGATTGTGGAGGTCCCTGGGCAGCTGCCCACTTTGCCCACTCCTGAATCCGGCCCTGCCACACATCACAGGTGTCCCGGTCTCAGGTTTTCTCCTGCACGAACACTGGATAGACCAACCGTCCGGACAGCTGGTAAACTGATAGTGATGACATTATTAAAAAAAAAGAAAAAAAAAGATAGCGATGGACTGAAATAAAATGAAATAATTTTACCGACATATCCACCAGTCGTCATAAGCAAGTGAGTCTGTTCCCTATTTCGACTTCAGGTTATTTTCGGTTGTGTTACTTGGTACGCTCAATACGTATTCGTCACCAGTAACCAGAAAAATCCAATTTTTAATAATTTCCGTTTCCGTAATAAGGTTATATGTACAGTATACAGTACGTATCCGGATACGGATACGTTCTTATCGCTGTGGCAGTCCTATTGACGCAAAAGGATGGTGGTGTGAGGCGGTAATCCCCCGGCGGAACAACTTAACCAAGACACTTTAGACTCCTGTCTGACAACATGAAGAGAAAGCTGAGTGATTTTGTAAGTGAGAACCTGACTGAACACTAGAGAGAGACATACAGATGCCGCCACTGTTGTGAATATCTGGACAATAATGGCTGCAGTCATGGTGTTGAAGACATGTCAGTCATTATGGGCAGCCATCATGGGGACAGTTCTCACTCTTTACTGGAGAAAGACGATATATCTTTTGGCTTCCACATTATTCCTGATGTTCCAAATGAAAGTCATGTAAAGATTTTTCAACAGGCTAATTACGCAGCAGATCAGGTAAGTGTTGTGGCCAAATGTATTCAGTGAGGCGTGTATTTGTCAAACACTATACAGGAGATATTTGATGTAATAAACTCATATGATGGATAACAACAATAAACTATGTAATAATAAACATCATGTCTGAGGGTTGGTGACCACAGTCCTCCACTTATAACATTTTCAGTCTGTTTTTTTTAATATATTTCCTATATTATGCTTCTCTCTGGTGACTCAGCTTTAATATCACCCAGTCATCCCAGTCTCCCCTCCAACCACCAGTTTTGTCCATTAATATTTCTCCCATCATTCCCTCATCCAAAGTATATAATTCTCCTTATTCCATCAAATTCCAGTACCTCTCACATTGCTCTTTTCAATCTTAGTACTTCATTTGTTTTACTATACATAACATTCTCCTGTTACGCCGTATTTCCAAGGCATAGACACCAGTAGGGGGGGGGGGCCCCTCCTGGTGTCTATGCTTCTCACCCATACATTAGAGCACTTTACTAGCAGGTCGTTAAAAGTATTATTATTCATTTATTTATTTATTTATTTTTAATTTTCACGTCTCTTATCCCTACTAATGTTACCTCCCAGATACACAACTATTTCCATTTATTTAAGTTCCTTCTTGTATTAACTCCCGCCTTCACCACATTCCAGTAATGTGTTAACTAGTTTTTGTAGAGCCTCTTCATTGTTTGTAAGAGACAGCATAACCTTGTCTAACCTTAAACCAGCTACTAGCACTACGGGTTGTTGCTGCTAGTAAAGATGTTTTAATAATCTGGGAAACAATCACTATACGGAGGTCTTGTCAAAGGAGGGCTTGAGGACAGTGGGTGTGTGAAACGTGCGAGCTGACACCTGCCGCAGATAACACACACGTGGTCTGTGTCCACTAACTGCGCAATACTGTACTTGAGTCCGAGGGTAGAAGGGTACAGGTGTGCTAGATCTATAAATGTAGCCACTCATAATACTTTACTGAAGACATTATTTATTGGTAAAATTATTAATGATTGTATTATAAAGTTATGTGTGTTAAAGATTTAATTTTTGGGGGTAAGTTTCGTCAGTGTATTTCATGTTTAGGAGAGACACATCCTTGAGATATAGTCAACGGACAACTGCTGAAATAACATACAAGAAACTTACTACTGTTTACTAGAGGTTGATCATTATGGTTCTACGAGTCAAGAAATGTTACAAGTAAAAAAAAATCAAGGAGAAGAGAAACAGTTAATTATTTTCTCCTAGCACCGCTGTCTACACATGTTTGGCGTTTGAAAATAATGATAAGGTTATGTTGAATTGTAGTAGGACAGACACCTGGATGATCTATACTCAGTTTTGGCAGAGCTCAGTTGTCTGTCTGTGCCAAAATCGGACATTTTTTAGTGATTTTATTTTTAACCCTTTAGAGGGCAGCGGTACATCACACGATTTTAATCAGCTGAGAGATACCCTTGTCCTACAAAGGGTTAAGCCTGTCCCTATTAACCGTGAAGGAGCCCAGGCGAGGGTCCAGATAGCTGTGGGTACCTTCTCACGAGCCGCCAGCAACACGATAAAGACATCCTCGCCTTTACGCCATTTGCCTCTGTCTACCCAGCAGTAATTGGGATCCTGGATGTTAATCGATATGCGGATCGTATTCCGGTGTAATGGTTAGCCAGTGCAGTTGGCGAATTGTCCGGTCTTCTCGGACTATTCCTTGACACTGGGTCATGCAGCTTGTTAACTTAGGGTGTAGTTGTTGTGTTGGCGACAGCTTCTACACCTTAACAAATTCACGCCTAGGTGGCCCTTGGGCCTATCCATCCTCGATTTCGAGGGGCTTCCATTATTATTATTATTATTATTATTATTATTATTATTATTCACTTTTCAGCTCCTTCTACCAAGATGGGATGCACAATAAACTAGCAACTATACACTGTACACCATCAGATTAATTTTGAGAATTATATTTTTTGTATTAATGTTGTTTTTGTCGACACAACACTACCCTGTACTGTATCCCTCAACCGTATCTAATATACTATAGGACTAGGCGTGTGTCTGTTTGTGTGTGTGTCTGTTCTGGGCAGCCGAAATGGCACAATCGTTTTTCATCAAACTTGGTGGAAAAATTGCAAAAAAATCGGAGAGTCGAATAAACCTGGTCCCATGTCGATGGTTTCTTTAAGAAGGCATTAATTAACCATTTTATTTACGATGGAAAACGATGCAAGTCTACGGACTTGGCGCACCCTAATTAACCATGCAAGTCTACGGACTTGGCACACCCTCATTCGCTGTATGCTGTCACGAGCGTTCAAACTCTCACAAGGGCACGAACGTGCCCGAGATCACTTGTATCTACAGGTTAAAAGTACTTCTAAGGTGAACGTGTTTATATGGTGAGTATCTATGAATAAACTACAAGCTCTTTACTACATGCAGCGAGAATTAACTTAAAAAAGGTTCAGTTGTGTTTATTCTCTAGATATGATGCTCGTCCAGCCCCGGCAATGAAACTTTCCGGAAAAAATGTTCAACCGTGTGAGTGTGGTGGACGGTATCAGTTGTTCCCACCTGCTGATGAGAACATAAGACAGTAGCTCCCGGCCACAACACCACTCAACCTTGTGCTGCACCTGCAACAACACCAATAGCTGCAGAAACACTTACCAGCAACACCACTCCGCTACTTCCATTAACCTTACACCAACACCACCACCACAAACCCTTTAGCACCAGCACCACCTCCTCCTCGACCATCCCTCCAGCTGCTGAGTTCACTATCTCTCAACCACCAATTACTGGTAACGTAATAATTATTTTCGCCACACAGACACACACACTGTCCTGAGGGTGAGGGCGACACCTAACAGCATCATTACCTTCACAAACAAGAGGTACTCAAGCACCCCGCCGACGTATAAATAAACATTCCATCGCGAGTCAGAGTCTAGCCCCCCATAGACGATACGTCTGCCGGATCCGTCCGCCGGAATCGTAAGTAAAACCGATCGTGTAGGGGGGCATCGTACTGCCAATTCTGGGCGGAGTCCGGCGGCCGGACCGGCGAGCTCAGAATCTGTCGGCGCCAGATTTTCTGCCTTCCGTCCCACTTCAGGCGCCGGCCTGACGGATTATCTGTGGGGCTGTCGTCCGATCGGCGTCAGTCTCATAGCAACTCCCAGTGAGTAAACATCTAGAAAATGACAATCATATCATGTGCCAAAGATTTTTTGGGGGGGAATTCATCGAATTATATACAGACCATACCCGTGCCTCTGGAAGATAAAGTCGAAAGACTATAGTGATAAAGGAAAACGAAATGCTACATATGATATACTTCTAGAGAAGCTTAAAGAAAAGGATGAACATGCCACCAGAGATACTGTTGCCCCCAAAATAACAACCTTTGAAGCTCCTACCGCTAGGAACTGATAAAAGTTGAAGCATCCAAAAAATCAGGAGCTGCCGCTGAGGATATTTACACTCCCGTACTCTGGTACTGTGATCTGTTATATTTTATAAGGGATCAAGAGCTGACTAGGCCCTATGTTCCCATATATATGAGATAGTTCATTCCTTTTCATCAGCCATTGTTTCACCCACTTCCTTCTCTTTGGCTTCTCTATTTCTGCTACAGCGTAAACCACAGCAGCAGCTCCTAGCGTTAAGAAAGTCAGATCTTCGAGCGAAGAGGCCATGTCTGCACAGTATAACAGCCTGGCAAGACTGAAGCTCGCCGCAACAAGCCGCCGGAAAGTCTGTGGGCGACTATTTTTTGGGGGCAAGCAGGAAGCAGGACGGTGCCGGAACTAGCGGTCGTACCGTCTAAGGGGGGGGGGCTTAAACGCCCCCTTCCGTCAACGGGGATCCCCGCCCGTGTTGACAACCAGAGTTTTAAAACAAACTGACTCCCGAAAGACACCGCACTACAGCACTCGATGGGGAGGTGTGGCGGTGAAATTAACTTATAATATTGGATTAGTTCGTTTTACCACCACTGGAAAATTTAGTTATTCAAACATGAGTTAAATTAACAGGAAAATCCAGCTACTACAGGGTTATCTGATTACATAAATGATAACACAAAGGTTGTTTTAACTTATGAGACTGAAAAGACAAGAAACATAACAAAAACATACGTGCTTTTGATAACATCTTCACAACCTCTTTGTTTCACTTCCTTCATCAGATTGTGGTAGTGTGGCAACATGAGGAGCCTCGCCCTCAGCCTCCTCCTGGCTCTCCTCACAGGTAAATATAAGACAAATAGGATGTATACAACCAGTGTGTAGACATGATGTATACAACCAGTGTGTAGACATGATGTATACAACCAGTGTGTAGACATGATGTATACAACCAGTGTGTAGACATGATGTATACAACCAGTGTGTAGACATGATGTATACAACCAGTGTGTAGACATGATGTATACAACCAGTGTGTAGACATGATGTATACAACCAGTGTGTAGACATGATGTATACAACCAGTGTGTAGACATGATGTATACAACCAGTGTGTAGACATGATGTATACAACCAGTGTGTAGACATGATGTGTGTGTAGACATGATGTATACAACCAGTGTGTAGACATGATGTATACAACCAGTGTGTAGACATGATGTATACAACCAGTGTGTAGACATGATGTATACAACCAGTGTGTAGACATGATGTATACAACCAGTGTGTAGACATGATGTATACAACCAGTGTGTAGACATGATGTATACAACCAGTGTGTAGACATGATGTGTAGACATGATGTATACAACCAGTGTGTAGACATGATGTATACAACCAGTGTGTAGACATGATGTATACAACCAGTGTGTAGACATGATGTATACAACCAGTGTGTAGACATGATGTATACAACCAGTGTGTAGACATGATGTATACAACCAGTGTGTAGACATGATGTATACAACAGTGTGTAGACATGATGTATACAGTCAGTGTGTAGACATGATGTATACAACCAGTGTGTAGACATGATGTATACAACCAGTGTGTAGACATGATGTATACAACCAGTGTGTAGACATGATGTATACAACCAGTGTGTAGACATGATGTATACAACCAGTGTGTAGACATGATGTATATAACTAGATTCATTACCATTAATACACCGAGTATGATGTCTGTATACTGCCCCCAGCGTGTTGTGAAGGACACGCCGCCAGCTCCAGGAACACATCAATGACTTGTGGGTCCCCGTACACGCTAGTTGGGAACGAGTGTCTCTACTTCATGGTCTTCGCGAAAGTGACCTTCCAAGAAGCCCACTACACCTGTCAGACTGCCGATGGTGGACTGGCGAACATCATCTCCGCCACACAGATGAAGGCTGTCGTTGATTATATTAAGTTCAGTGGTGAGTCATCTCTGATACTGTAGAGGGCAGGGGGCGTCTCTCAGCTCAATACAATATCTAAGGGCTACTTTGCCCTGTAGTGGGTTAAGGGAAGGAAGAGGAGTGTGTTGAGCCGTGCGGGGGGTGGGGAGGGGTCTCCAAACATGCCCAAAAAATCGGTCCAGGTCTCCAGGTTGTCTCCTCTCTCATCAGTGTGTAAGTCTCTCGTGTCTAGTATGAAATAAATAAAAATCTTTAGTACTAATATTTACTATGGAATTAATTTTCATAATGTAAGATAAAAATTCAAATTTATCCAAGTAAAACAAACACCTGTACTGTTTACATCATACAAACAAACCTTCAAAAGGCACCAAGATTATAGTGAAGGAAGTCAGTAGAATAACTGTGACGTGATATATTAAACACAGTAAATGGTTTGTGTGACTTACTGGTGAAGTTCATCACGCCTCAATGTTTAATGTGACATACAGGAAATATTAAATTTCCACCATAATACAGACCACAACGTCCACCACTCCCTCCACTCTGTAACTTCCTTCAACAGGAAAGATTTTGTTCAGCGGTGTCGTTACATTTACACATTAGTTGAATGAGTTTGGTTTATGGTAATAAATAAATTTATATTCCGAAAGACGTGAATCAGTTGTTTATTACTACAGATTTTAAGTCGAAGGATTTCTGGCTTGACGGGACTGACAGCGAAGAGGAGGGCAAGTGGACCACTGTCTCCGGTCAGCCCATCCTCATGGGCACACCTTTCTGGGCCTCCTACCTCGCCCATGATGAGCCTAATGATTATTTGCATAAAGAAGATTGTTTGGTGCTCTCGTATGACGAGTTCTATTATATGAATGATGTTTCCTGTGATGACAAGTCGCACCCCTTGTGCCAGGCGCCACCTACACTTACTGCAGGTAAGTTTTACGTAATACTGCACAATATTACGAAAGTAAAACTACATTGTACACAATGGAATGTCGACACTGGCCTAATACAAGTCTAAACAACCAATTCTTACTAAAATGGACAGTATGTTTAATTACCTTTGTTGGATGCTGGAGGAATAAACACTACATAACATTAATATAATATACTGTATAATACACACTCTTGAACAAAGATGAACACGTCACCAGGACTAGCGGATAGTGAGTACTGCAAGTGTTTCACATTATTAACTGAAACAATCTGTACAATAAATGAAACGTGAGATATTGTGAACTAGGAGCCAGACTTCATGTACGGTGACACAGCCTGCCTGGTCTGCTCTGACACAGCCTGCCTGGTCTGCTCTCACCTTACATTCAACTAATTCCCTTATATATATATATATATATATATATATATATATATATATATATATATATATATATATATATATATATATATATAAAATCACACGGGAAAAATGGAAACAACGGAGTACCTTAGCTTTCTTCTATATATATATATATATACAGTATACAATGTACACACAGTATATTACCTGGTGAACTGTTTAGTGATGCCACGTAGTTTTTTCTTTCAAGTTTGTGTATATCTTGATCCTTCATATCATTACTGCGAGAATCGTCAGTGAGTGACGGGGATATCTGCTCACTAAGACAAGGACGTGAACAGATAATGTGTTCACACCTTTGAATAGCGAGGCACTAGCATCCGGTTCTTGCAGTTCTCCCTTTTTCGAGCCACCAGTACAGTACTTGTTGTGACGTAATGGTCAGTTGTCTCGGGGTCGTTCCCCAAGTAAGGTGAAATTAAAGGCAAGTTGCTTTACGCCATCTTCCTCTGTCCGGTCTTCTTGGGTCATTCCTTGTTGTTGGCACGAGGGGAACTACTTCATGGAGAGGAATCACTACCAGTTTGGATTATGCCTTTGTAAGATTGGGTGAAGTCTGTAATGTTAGTCAAAATGTTCTGCGGTGATGAAAGGTTCATGAAACAACTGATAAACAAACATATTATTTTGGGTTAATATTCCTTTTCACTTTTAGTAATTCAATATGTATATTTATTAATTTATTTTATGTTGATGACACAAGAAGTTAAATTGTCTGGGGAATCTTACAGAAGACGAAGGAGCCGCCACAGCGTTGTCTGGGTCTCTTGAGTGTCCCTTTATGTTTAACCCTGTTGGTGGGTTATGTCTGGCGTTTGTCTTGTGGGAGAAACTCAGCTGGACAGACGCTCGTCAGATATGCCACGGGATGAACGGAGACTTGGTTGCCATCACAGACATCGAAGTGTTAAGGGCACTCTACATGCACCTGCAGGATGAAAGTAAGTGTATAGAGAAATATATTCATACATGGAAAGTTTAAATTGTGGAATATACATAATAATTTCTGCAGGAGTGTGTCTAATGGTGCACCTCCATCTACTGTAGGTAGTTATATCTACCTCTGAGGTTCACGTGTTGCTGTACCCCTGAAGGTTCCTTGTGCTGAACCCAGTATGATGGCCACACACACACACACACACACACACACACACACACACACACACACACACACACACACACACACACACACACACACACACACACACACACACACACACACACACATTGTTGAGTTACATTAAAATTATTATTTTATCTTTACTGTTGTGACGTCACATTAAGTATAAAGTGAAATATATGACTAAATACTTATTTATCATAATATCCAGCCATAAATGTAATAACTCATACTAATTCATTACCTCTTCTGAGAATGAGAGTTGGCAAAACAGCTTCAAGACAATTCTACATGACGTGAGGGAGTACACAGTGTGTGAAGGTGGACACGGAGGTGAAGGGCATCGTGGAGGTATCTCTTAATATATTTATTAGCCTACAGTGCGCTCTGAAACACCTTAGTTATTGATGCCAAGTAATCCATTATAACATTATTGCCTTTCAATCATTAATACTTTTTTTTTACACTATACAGGTATTGTTGTTTTTCCAGACTTTATTCTGTAGGTTTGTCATACTCTGAAACAAAGCTTTGAGCGGTAACAAGGCTGAGTTACTTTAATCACTAGATTTAAAGCAGTCCCTCTGATGACGTCATACCACAGTAGGAAATTGTTGTTATGTGAGTTTTATAAACGAGTCTTTACACTAAACTTACACTTCGACTTACTGCTCTTGAAGGCTTTGTGGAGAAGCATAACAATAACCCTACAAAATATGGGACTGAAGTCAATTTTCCAGGGTCTGTGTTACTCAACTTGGCTGCACTAGAGTTATTTGTTAGTTATAATCAGTGCATCCCAGTCTGACCAGCATCCAGGGAGCCTGAGGAAAATTACCAGAGCATCCTGCTCCCTGTCGACTCTCTAACTCATTTCATAACTGGCTAACACTACTTACTGCCCAGAACGGAGAAACTGGCAACATTACGGAAGATAATCATGACACATGTGACACGAGTCGGCCTACAGCTCTGCAACTGAAGACACATTCAACGGGCGTCTAAGATACTGTATTTCTCAACAGTCATTACCAAGATGGTGTTATGAAACCAACTTTATCAAGCTTATGAAGCTTAATCAGATGAGACGTGTTTCCATATCTGGTGTGATTTAGTCTTCACTTTTACTTTTATCCTCTTCACCAAAAGATCGACTCGTTAGCCGCTTGAGCGATCGGTCACGTCTCTGTCACACACTGTTGGCAAATACTGGGCATGTACCGCTCCTGAATGTACCTGAACCCGCTCCAGTGTTGGTCAAGTCTTGTATTGAAAGAGCTCACACTCGGTGCCGTCACAACACTTTCTGGTAGATTGTTCCAAGAGTTCACAACTCTCACTCCGAAAAAGTTTGTCCTCAGTTTTCTCGACTTGCGGCTTCTTCAATCTTGAGCTGTGACCCCTTGTGGGGCGAGCGTCCGCCAGCTCCAAGTAAGGACACTCGACTGAGTAGTGCCCCTTGAGATGCATATACACCTCAATTAGGTCACCCCTGGCCCGTCTGTAGTATAAGCTAGGCAAGTTCAGGCGTTCCAATCTCTTAGGGTAGCTGAGGTGCCGAAGGGCAGGCACCAGTCTGGTGGCCCTCCTTTGAACATTTTCAACCAACTGACAGACCTTAGCATATCTCGGGGACCAGACTGGGTGACAGTACTCCAGATGGGGAAGCACTTCACTCTTGAAGATCGTTACGAGGGGCGGACCGTCTAGATATCTGAACGACCTTCTTATAAGACCCAATAATTTATTTGCCTGATTTACCTTCTTCTCGCAATGGCCCGAGAACTTCAGCTCATTGTCAACATACACACCTAGGTCCTTCTCACATTCAGTCTCAAATAGTGCAGTTTCTTTATCCTGTTGGGACATATGATACGCCTCCTTACCGTTGGTACGCCCCAGGTGTATCCTCTTACACTTCGTGATATTGAATCTCAGCAGCCATTTCTTCGACCATTCTTGGAGCCCACAGAGGTCCTTCTGCAGCTCTTCACAGTCCGCTTGGTTCTTGATTTCCCGAAATAACTTGGCGTCATCGGCAAACATTTGTATGGAGGAGTGTACAACATCAGGCATGTCATTTATGAAACAAACAAACAACAGCGGGCCCAATACACTGCCTTGTGGTACCCCGCTTGTGACAGGTACGGATGATGATTTCGTGCCATTAATCACCACACACTGCTTGCGGTCATGTAGAAAGTCTTCTATCCATGCTAGGACATTTCCCCGAATTCCGTACCCTTCCAGTTTGATTTTCAGCCTTTCGTGGGGTACACTGTCGGAAGCCTTGGCAAAATCTAGGTAAATATTGTCGATATTACCACCCCGTTCCAGAATATGGGTCCAAATATCCAATACCTTGAGCATTTGTGTAAAGCAGGAGCGCCCCGGCATAAAACCGTGTTGGCAATCCTTTACAAGGTTGTTTCGTAGTAGATGTTCCATCGCGGCATCTCTAATAATACTCTCAAGTACTTAACATATTATGCTGGTCAGGCTCACCGGTCTATAGTTGTTCGTGGAGTGACGATCGCCCTTCTTGAAGATAGGGCTCACATAAGCCACTTTCCATTCACTGGGGACCATTTGTTCATCCAGGCATTTACAAAACAGGATCTTCAGAGGCTCGGCAAGCTCGTTGCTCAACTCTCTTAGCACTCTAGGATGCACCATGTCAGGGCCGGGACTCTTATGGACCTTTGACTTTGACAGATTATTTCTAATGCCCTCTTCTGTGAACACAATGTGGGTTAGTACTGTGTCGAACCGTCTGTCCTCAAACGCAGGAAGGTCAATCGTATCCTCTCTTGGAAACACCGAAGAAAAGAAGCTGTTCAATGCCTCAGCTTTATCCTGGTCAGAATCTGCGTAACTACCATCTTCAAGCCTCAGGTCTGATACTCCTACTCGCATTTTTAATTTCGACTTTGCATAGCGGTAAAACGCCTTTGGGTTTGACTTGACCTCGCTTGCAACCAGCCTCTGCAACTCCTTTTCAGCCCTTCTACATTCTATCTTTGCTTGGTTTCTGGCTCTTGCATACATCCTCCTGTCCTGCTCATCATTTGACTCAACCCACGTCTTGAATTTCTGAGTTTTCTTCCTAACTTTCGGCTCAGGTGTGTTGAACGGCTTCGTTACCAGAGGCTGGCCGCACATTTGTTCTGACGAGGAATTATCACTTCAGCTTAAGCACAGTGTTTTCTGATGATATATCTGGGAATGTACTGAATGTATTAATCTTCGGTCACAGGCGGAGCGGAGCACCTCTTGAGGAATCCTCCGGTTCCGCTCATTGAGCCAACAACCACTCGGATCACTTGAAATCGACACTCAGCGCTCCGCCTCCTCAAATTTGCCAAGTGTGGTTGAAGTGCTAAGATGTTAATGACTTCAGCTTTTCTCTTAAAACAATAATATTTTTTTCTTTTCATTTTGGGGAAGCATCCTCTTTCTGTCACTGTCTCATTAGCGGATTAAATATAAAAACAATTCCGTGGAAGATAAGTTACTTCTGTTTATGGCTGTTAGCGTGTAAGAGACTTCACCGTGGGCAGGGCAAGATGATCCTTCCACTCCAAGGCTGGTCAACACTCAACCCTCCTGTTATCTCCCGTCAACAGCAATGGTTCATGAAATTTGCAAAATCTCTAAGGTTATAAATGTTTCTTCTACAGACATTGCAGACCACACCTTTTGGGTGGGTGGCTCTGATGCCGAGGAGGGCGACTGGAGGTGGACCACTAATGAAGCTGTCGACATGGGTAAGCCAGGACCTCTTGGTGTACTGTTCTCCTTTCACTCCCCTGCAGTACCACTTACACTCTGAATAAGATGACGAATTGATTTTTTTTCAGTCAGTATGTTGCTTGTTACAAGACTCGTTATATTTCTCATCTCAGAGTTCTGGTATTCCGGAAACACACTGATAAGTATTTACGTCAATACCCTCCATTATTCTGTAAAAATAAATATTCAATATCAATCAAGTTACCACACCTGAGAGGAAGTCGCTCACTAAAGACAGAGATAAAACAAAAATAGTTCTCGCAAGTCTCACCATATGACTCAGGAATAAACCGTCACACCCCTAACTTACAAACGCTTATTCGATAATTACACTTCCTTGTACTATCATGTCAACACATGTTTCAGGTACACCGTTCTGGGGGCTGTACAAATACCAGCAGGAACCTACCGCAGGGATCTTTGGAAACTGTCTGACGTTGAAGAGTCCTGGCGGCTACTACTTCAGGGATGATAGCTGTCACGAGAAACACAATCCCCTGTGTATGTATGTTGAACCATAACACCCAAAACAATACTCACATGATGAACACTTTTGTTTGTTATGGACAACAACTTTAAGTTACCAGTACACTAAAACATTAATAATTCGGCATACTAGAGACTCTGGCCTTGACAAAATGTTCGGATAATGATGAGTGGATTTGGTATCCCATGTGTACCGCCGACAAGGTAGGGGGTTCGTAATACTCGTCTTGCCCACTTTCTGTGTGGATGTCGGTCACTAGAATAATCCATTATAGTAGTTCCTTCTTTCCTCACATAGCAAATATTTTGCCTCCTTCTGTGTTTCCATCTTCTTACAATCTGTTTCGCTCCAAAAAAAGTTGGTTTCCGGCATCTTCGTGGTGAAGATTAATATACAGTACTGCGTCGATGACCTGTGCCCGGATAGGCTATTCTCCATAAAAAAAATCAAGATTAAAACTGTCTGTTCTATATCACATTGTTGACAATAACCATCTGATGAACAGTTTTCTCCGCCCAGTTCACAACTGAACTTAACTTAATAAATAACTTGAATGAAACAAAACAGTTTTTTTTATTTCATGGCTGTGTTCTATCTCCAACACTGTATAATATATATTCAGAATTCTTAATAAGAGAAGTTATAAGTGATAGTGAAGGACTAAAAGTTAATTGATATACACTATCCAGGTGATACTGCTCTTATCTCAGATAGTGAAGAGGCATTACAAAAACTCGTTAACAGATTAGTGGAAAAAGTGGAAAATGTGGTTTTAAGAGTTGATGCTGTAGAGACGAAAGCAATGGTTGTTTCGAAATTGGAATTAAATCCCAAAATAAAAATAATGGTAGGCAACAAGGAAATTAGAAAGTGGAGAATTTTGTGGGTAAGCAAAAACAGCATTTGAAAATCTAAAAGAGACTAATTTGAAGAAAAGGCTCTTGAAAGGCTTTATATGGCAAGGGCGATTGTGTACAGAAAAAAAATTAGATACCTTAGTCATAATTAAGGTTGAAGGAACAATAACAGAAATATTAATGGGCAAAGTTGATGGTATAGGAGGGCCAGGGGAAGGCAAAGACTGGGATGGATGAATCAATTTAAAAACTGGGTCCCCAGAGAATACAAAACCTTGGGAGATTGGTAAAATAGCCCAAGAACGTTAGTAAGTCATAAATCAGCAGATCAAGAAGTGAATAATTTTTCCTACTGATCTAGTGAGATGTATTTTAATTTGTGCATGGATAGTAATAATAATAATGTTACATCTTTATGAGGCTTTTTGTAAAAACGATATTTTGTGATCAACTCGCCAGCTCTACTAATTGGTGTCGTTCTAAACATGACCGATTTGTTCCCATTATATCCCTACGATATTAAATATTTATTACTGCAAAGATATGAGATTGAATACATTTATTCCACTGACCTATTATTTTTATATTAATTTTACTAATTGATATATATAACGAACACAAACTTTATATATATTTAATAATTTCGGTTAAATATGGCAGTTTTAATGCACACAACTCACTGACGCGCCAACACTTGAAGACCATCGGTGTCCGCCTCAAAAAAAGTTTCCTTAAAACCTACTACCATCAGGTGCTTTCCGACAGTTTCTTTGTAAAGCGTATTTAGAATAATGGTGCTGCAAATATTCAAGACGAAATTTATGCCATAGAAATATCAGAAAGCTATTTAGACAAAGAAAATAAAGTGCTATTACCTAAAGTCATGATCCGACCTAACATTATTCAAGTGCTCAATGATAAAAATACCGATAGTTTATAATTCTAGTCAGATTTTGATTCTGCTAAATGATATATATAGAGTGATGTTTTAAGATATATAATGGGTATTTGAGTGAATTAACTGAAGTGAGCGTGTTGTCGGGGTGTGAGGCTGTGACGTCACCAACTACACTGGTGAGTACAAAAGCTAAATTATCATGACAAACTAGGGTAATTAATTATCATGACACACTAGGGTAATTAATTATCATGACAAACTAGGGTAATTTCTGAGACCACCACTACCACTATACAGGAGTTGTTCACTTTCGTTAATTTTTTTCACATGTTCTTATCATCATATTAAGTATTTTAAAATAAACGGCAACTTTCTATTTTATGTATACTGTATGTATATTTTTTGTTATTTTTGTTAGATTTTCTCTCAATACGATCATAATCACCTGTAGTGGGCAGGGCATGAAGGATGAGGGAAATTGCCGGGCAAAACGCGATGGAAAACCGATCATATGTGATTAAAATGATGACTCTACGTGTTTGTATGTGAAAAAAAATTATTATTTACTGTTTAATACTACTAAAAAAATCTGCCGAGTCACCGTGATAGTTTTAAGGCGTTTTAAGATGCACGGAATAGCTAACGTGTTAACTTTCCCGGACTGTCATTAAAAATACGACATTGTACAATATCTTGGGAATAACTGTTGTACAACCCTGTCTTCAGAAAACAATAAAATTGGGAGAACTGTTATTTGGACACAATACGGAAAGAGATAGTGAAGAAAATATATAGAAAATTATGGAAAGAAAGACAAAATGGAAAAAAGTCAATTAGTCAACAATAAATAAGAAAACAAAAAGGTGGGTGGTCCAGACTCTGGGGTGGGGGCTTCAAACCACACTATCTAAAGATGATGTCTCTCTCGGCTAGGTGTTCGCATATCTATAAACGAAATACGACGAATTTCAGGTTCGTTTGTCTTAATTTTTGCACTTACAGAACTGTAATCAACTTGTTCACCCTTATTTAAAGTAGCTTATGAGTAATGATATAAAGGTTTCAATCATATTTGAGTAATTTATCAATATTGTTACACTAATGAAATCGGACAGCGCCCACTTAAAAATGGGCGGAGCCAAAACTGGTTTCAACCTGGCGCAATCCTTTGAAATCCTTTCACGCCTTACGCTTTGTTTTAGGTCCTATCCAATATACTACCGTATATATAATTATTTTGATTAATATATCACAGTTTTTATTGTCTTATATGCCCCCAACTCTTCAATATTAATCAAAATATTCTCCAAAAGCGGCCTTGCAGATCTGCATATTTTCAGTGACAGAAACGCTGATTGGTTGTTAGCAATTTGGGTGCAGCTCAAGGCTAACGCCAGATTGAGGTGTTAGCTTTTTCCCCTTGAACGTTCCACGCGTACAACTCTAAAGCAGCGTCTGAGCAGACAGAATAGCTAACGCGTTGGCTATTCCGTGCATCTGAAACGCCTTACAATAATCACCTTAGTCTTGCGAGCAATGACAAAACAACAGTGGTGCCTTTTGATGGTGCTGTGAGCTTAGTATAGGAAATTTGGATTATTGAAGTACAGTACCTCTTTTAACTTGATTAATTATTATTGGTTAAATGAAAGCAAGAGTGATTAAATCGAGTATAAAGTTAAATATATCCGATAAAAGTTAATGTCAGCCGTCAACAACCTACACCTTTAGGGAAATATATTTAATTGGCATTGTGTGTGTTTGTCTGTCTGTAAATTAATAGCAGATGTAAAGAAGGGCTTAAAAATGGGGAAGATTTGTAGGAAAGTGGAACAGTAATGTATATACCGTGCCAGGGTGAGCTAATGCCCCCACCCCACTAAAAAAGAAGTATCCATACCTGGAGCTGGGGGACGCCCGCCCCGCAAGGGGTCAAAGCTCAAGGTTGAAAAAGCCGCAAGTCCAGAAAACTGTGATTAAGAACTTTTTCGGAGTGCGAGTTGTAAACTCTTGAAACAATCTACCAGAGAGTGTTGTGACGGCACCGAGTGTGAGCCGTTTCAAGACCAGACTTGACCAGGACTAGAGCAAGCTCAGATACATTCAGGAGCCAGTGCTTGCCAAGTACTGGGCAAGGTGAAGATGTCGATCAGTCACTTCATTTACAAAACTGTGTCCACAACTACTGTGTTCATTCCGAGACAAGACCTCAGTGAGAGAAAATGAGACATACATATCATTTGGGACCAGGTGATGATTGTAAAGTTCTATCCTCCATTTTCTACCTCTCCTGAAAAGCCAACCTCCTCGTCCTTAAAAGGTTTTTTACTTCTTCAGGTATAGAGGGAGTTACTAAGGTTGTCTGCTGGCCGAGTGATGGCCTTATAGTCACCTTAGGTGACTGGGGACAGTCTGAATAACTAATGGATATAATGAGTATCATTAACGTCCCCATCCAGGCAGATGTCTTTCTTGTCGACAACGCCGTGTGGGGGAGTTATTTCCCACGACGAGATGCAGCACTTAGAATAAAATGAGCTACAAGACCAAATAAAAGATGTAGAAGTATGGAAACTCCACAACAGCCCTGGCTGTATTTTGCCACAAACTGCCCGAGACATTACACTGGGATGGGACAGTCCCAATGAAGCCATACACACCAAGACCCACCTGGTACTACAAATGCCAGCGCTATGGGCACACAGCTAAGAAATGCCAGGCTCAGGTAGTTTGCGCTACGTGCGGGACCACCGGATACCAGCACACTATATGTTTGGCGACCGACAAGAAATGCACAGCTTGTGGCAGCCCTCACTCCTTCCTCGACCGGGAGTTTCCCAAGTGGAGGGAGGAGTGCAGGGTAGCTAATCTGCAAAATAAGAAACACCTTAGCAACAAGGAGGCTCTCCTTGCAATGAAGGAACAAGAAAGGAAGAAACAAGAACAAAACAACACAAGAATCAGAAAAAAAGAGAAAGAACAACATGAAAAAGATGATCTAGATACGATAACAGTAGTAAACTCAAGAGTTTATTAACCTCTACGAGTCATTACCAAGCATAAAACACAACAAAGGAGAACAAGAAGAAAAATGGGTCGTAAAAATAAACATCAGAAGAACAAGAGGAAGAGATCAAACGAACAAGACTACAGCCGTAATAACCATCGATGTTAATGGTCAGTAAAATAAATGAACGAACGAATTGTGTTAAAGAAATGCTGTGACTTTGAGTTCGGTGCATTCTGTTAACGAATTCACAAATTTTGTGTCTGGGATTGGCTGCAGAAGTCCTTTACCAGAGCATTTCTGCAGTGCAGGCTGTGTAGACATTCCATTACAGAGTACAACTTTGCAATCTACACCCTCCATCTCTCACAAGAAAAAGGAAATGAGAAAGACATTATTTGATGACGACCTGTATGTTTCCCCCGCTGTTATGAAACATTTCACCCTTGAACAGCAAGAAATACATTGCAAGCCGTGTGATGACTGCAGTCGATTACTGATTTCTTGTTTATAATGTGGCCGATTACAATGTACACGTTGCGGACCCCTGGTGTAGATAATATTTAGGTGAACAAATGTGATTTATGTAAGAAATATACAGTACTGTATATAATTTACAGAAGCAATTAATTATTTCACCTAAATATTTTAGAAACACCATTCTTAATTATAAATGGAAATTTGAAGTACTGTACTGTATACATGCATGTTGCAAGTGTGTTGAAATTTTGATTCTTGTACACTTACATATTTGAAAATTAAATATAAACATTGTCCAATAAGTTCTATGTCTTCCTCGCTCATTGCTGTGAATGGGTTCATACGATCAAGTACAATTCTGTGGATTCATCTTCTGTGTTATCTTAGCACCTCCTCCAACCTTGCCTGTCTCTTGTCTATGTTGGTCTGTTATGTTATCCCTAAAATATCAGATCTGAACTTGTCGATTATATAGTGTGAGGGAAACCCATACTGAATGGATTTTGGTCGTGTTTTTCTGGGTTAGGGATACATGTGTCCGGTGCTGGATCCCAGTCTGTTTTGCAAGGAGATCCGAGTTAAGTGAGTCCGGGTTAGAGGGAGTTTACTGTATTGCTTAATTTTTACAAAACTCTTACACATTAATATTATGGTAACTTAACTTTTATTTATATTTTGGAAAGCGATGTAATTTCAAATGGTTGTAATTCCTCTTGTCTTCCCACACATGACAGAGTCATGAGTACTTGTCTTTGGAACAATTTTTTCACATTTGATAAGTTTAACATGCTGCAGTCTTCTCCTCAAGTGTAAATAAGGCAGCCAAAGACTCATTTGGATTAGCACTATCTACATTTAGAATGACATGCTCCAAGGCATCTACATTGATATGCGGGAGTAATAGCTCTTTCCTTTATATTTCTTGGTTCAGGCTACACACCTGAGTGTGTAGTTTTGATTTGTTTCCCCACTCCATTACAGTACAGTATGTACTATAGTTTGTTTGTTTATCATAAGAAACATAAGCACATTGAGATGACTTTTCTACAAATTCTGTGGTTATTGACATGTAAAGATGACATAAGGTACAGTCATATGAGAGGTGACTGACATATTTTGGCTTTGTAGAAACTTAACACTTGTAGGCACTTTTATTACTTTTTATAGTTATTTTTACATTATATTAATGTTTTTAACACGATTTATGCGTCATATTTGGATACACACAGACTTAGCATAAAACAGTGAATGATGCAGACGAAGTATATGTGAAACACATTATGTATAATGAAAATGCCATATATTTGTTAGCGACGTATACGTGAAGTGACATATACCGGTACAACGTATATCGAGGACCCCATTGTATGTGCATCCCGTGCCCAAACATACAAGAGGGATACACAGTACTACTAACTGGTTCTTTAGTATCTATTTGTTTTCACCTCAAGCTTTTTTAAGTACTACTGTACACCACCTCCCTATATCATCATCCTAATCAGGGAAATGTTTTCACCACCCTGGTACGGCAAATGATTGTGACAACCTACATAAAATAACACCTTTCTCTGAAGGAATTAAATGTCCCTCCTGATATATGGTTCACAAAATACTAACTGTTTTTCATATCATGTAAATGTCAAAATAAAATTTCTTTCATACCTTCAGTCTCTGAGCAAATACATTGCCATGCTTCAGGAAACTTACAAAAGTTCAGTCGTTATTTCTGACTTATAGAAAGAAAGGCCAGGTTGAATGACTGCAACACATTTAGTAATACAGGTACCTGTACACGAATACAATACAGTACAGTACAGGCAAACCCTGATTCAAGAAAGGATTACATTTCTTAAATAACTCATAAATTAATACACATTTTCCCTTCAACTCTCATTATATAATTGGATATGTTCTTCAATGGAAAAACCCCCCAAAACACTCGACCCTTAATGAGCTATTACATCACCATTTGTTTACATGGCACAGACACTTGATCTATGACCAGTGTTTCTTGAGTGTGTTTTATGTTTAACAGGGATTTTATTTTGCTTTCACAATGCCCTTAAACAAACTCAAAAGTGATAGACCTGAGACTGACAATGCTAAAAGGAAATGTAAAATGCTTAGTGTAAAAAAAAAAAGTTAATTTACAATAACTGAGCCTAGGACACTCCCACCAGCCAAGATGTCCGAGCTAACTGGGCTGATTGCTCCACTCTTCCTCCCTTTTGCGTTCTCCACACTTCAAAATGCTTTTTCACTTCCAAATATCATATTTTCTCAAAGAAATCTACACCTTTATTGTCTAGTCCCCGATAAAGTATAATTAGCCATGAGTTCGATGTGATTCAAGGTTTCCGAGCAATGTTATTCGACCCATTTCTGAACGGTTGGTAGTTCTACATCCACGACCTTTGAGTATGAATGAGTATACAGTATACGTTTTTGAATGATGTGAATCCTCCGTGGCTTCAGATCATATATTACATGACTTGGAGTAGATATCGTAAATGGATATCAAAGCCATGCCTATCTCATATACGGGGGTCACTTAAACTTACAACCACAAATGTCTTAGCACAGGATGGATGGAGGGTTGTCATTATCATCATCAGTCAGTGGGTGGTTTACATGTGTCTTGCTTCTACCCAGCACAGTACATACATTATTATAGCTTAATGGATTTCTTGTTATATTGAAGTACATTACCTAGAATACCACACCATAAAATGATCACTCCCTCCCCCCATCTCTAGCTGTTGTTGAAATGGCAAGCAGGCATTCCAACTTATGATGATGGATTGGGGATCATATCAAAGCATTGTCTAGTGGTTTAATTTATAGTAATGGAAAATGTAATGGTACTATTTTAGAGGACTGCACATAATTAGCACAAGAAGTTTTTATTTTTTTATTTTCCACATATTAGACGAGAGTAACTGAGGAGAAATTGGACAATTAGGCAACTGGCTGAGTGACTGTGTGGTGGAGAGGAGTCTACTTGTCTGCACACGAGTTTGAGGAGTAAGTTATATGGTGAATGATGGCACGCTGAAAGCTTATTTGTGGACATAGTAATTATACGGTATTGCGAGTGTTAGAGAATATTGAAATTACCTGTAGTTAAATAATTAAGCGAATTGGTAATAAATAATTGAATCATTTTAGCATATTTTCATTATTGATAGTCAGTTAAGGGTTTCTTTCATAACCTCTGGGTTTTTGCTCATAAATCAAAGCGTGGGACAAAATAGAAAGAAAATTCATTACGTACTGTGAAATTTTGCAAATCATAAACATTAAGATCAGGGTCTGCCTGTAGAATGAGTGGCCAGACATAACACTCATTCTATACAGTACTCTACATTGTGTATTTAAAAATTCTGGCAGTGAATCATTACAGTAGAAGTACAAATAATTCTCAACAATATAACTCACCCTTAAAGAGGTCATTGGACAATGTTCCACATAAATAAAATGGACAACACAGGGTGCATACAATGTTTATTGGCTGCGTAAACAGTAAGCATAAATGGTTTGATCTGTTAATACAAAGAGGACATTGGGTGAAGTATGAAGACCCAGTATCTCACTATGTGTCTTCATGGAGATCACCAACTGCCGTGCCACTGTGTTCATCCTCTTCCCTGATTTTCTGTTGCGCAGTTCTCCACCAAAGGCCTCAGGTTGGAAGAATACATAAATATGGCTTTTAACATCTGCTACTGCAACATAGGAGATATCTGCAAGGATGATGAAATTGTGTTATGTACAAATAAAAAAATTAGCACAATGCAAGGGTAATGTCATACAACATACAAGAGCCCAGTCTGATCTCGAGCTGAAGGTACAGAGGTCTCGTCAGCCTGTCAACATAAGGCTCCATATATCTCGATAGATAATAGATCAGAGGAAGATGGGCAAACATTCAATTTTTGTTTTTATTCACATAAATGAAACAAATGTTGAAATGATATGGGAACATGAAGAATAAATATAAATTAAATGACTATTAAACAACAAAGGGTAACAAAGATGAGACAGGGCAGAGTGCATAGTATGTGAAGCTGGTCACATGTAACTATAATTATGTAGTAGTATATTTTGTTTTTTACAATATATTGTACATGTGCAGTACTGTTTGCATAATTAAATACAGCTCTGTGTCTGACCGACTATAATCTGATGTGGAAACATTCGCCAGTGTCCAGAAAAAACCTGTAGGTATGCAATTTTCTCAGGGATAAAAAATTTTTCTCAATACCCAGAAGTCTCTCAATACCGGAACTGCCCTCCACCAACTGTACAGTACTACAGTATACTGAATCTTGGTAAAAAAACAAAAAAACAAAAAACTAACTTTAAATTCTTTTGAATTGGGGCATCGTAAATTTTTCTACAACAGCATAAAAACTTGTCACGAAAAAAAAAATTTATGCAAGAAAACATTGAGTGTCAATTTGGGAAAAGACCACATATACTGCAGAGACAAGTGGAAGGACAATAAAAGAGACATAAAAACAAATAGGTAAGAGTGAATTTCTCATACGATCAACAGGTATAAAAATGTTATAATACAAGAACAGGATTTGTGATTTTAAACATGATCAAAGATTAAACACACCAATGATAATTCCTTACCTGGAGCTGCACAAGTAAACTTTGCCATAGTCTTGGAGGCCTTCACATAACCAAAAGCATTATAAGTGGCTACATGAGTGAATGTGTCCTCTCCACTTGGCTGCCACAAGATGCCGTCAACATCGTGGCGGAGACAAAAGGCTGGAACCTTTGTTTCATCAACCTGCAGTGATATTAATTACATTAAAATTTTCCTGTCTATTTATTTAAAAGAAATTTTTTTACTTACTTGTAATACTTTATGCTCCCTTAAACAAATGCTTGATTGTATCATTTTCCTGTACTGTACTTAATTACTGTACAAAACCGATATGTTCATATTGTTATATAAGGAAGAATACTTTATACTCCTCGTGATTTAGTTCTTCATTCAGAATAAAAAATTTAGTTGAAAATGAAAGAAAAGGCAAAGAATTTCGTAACCTTTGTTGTGGTCACGGAGACTTAAGAACTCATTGTGTACGTGAGAGGGTTTAAAACTTTTAGCCTTTCCCTTAATTATCATTAAGGCAGGCAGCACATGACAGAACTTTTTGTGGCAAGTGTACATAAGTATACAGTACTATTAACTAATCTGATACAAATATTCACACAAGCACTTAACAGACTTATACATCGGCTGTGATTCATTTACAAATTATTCATGTGTGCTACCATATAAAAATATTCAGTACTAAAAAGATACACATGTGCAGATGCATGCTCTTACTCACATATCGACACTTTTTTGCACAAATAAACTCAAAGGCACTCACAATACTTTTATACACATACACTCGTTCTTACATGCAGTCCCTTCTCACTAATGTCACATTATATGACCCTGCCAGATTAGCGTTGACCCGTGTTGTCAGTACTTTGGCCAATCCACAAACTGGGTCATCAGCAAAATGTAAATATATGCAGCATTTTAAACAACATAACAATCTTTTTACCCGGGAATTAAACAGATGTTGTGTTGGGCCAAGCTGTCCTAAATTAGATATATTATGAGTAGACCCATCAAGACGTATCATAAGTAAATCTTCACTGGCTTCATCACAAGCCTCCAGCTGTCCAGGATTATATGGGGGTTTCTCAGCATCTGGATTTGGGTTCTGTAACAAATTAAAAGAAATTATACCTCAAGTGATAAAACTTTTATAATCTCTGTATAATCTGTTGAATTAGCTATACCTGTATTTCACACTCTAAACCCATTCACCCAAACACAACCAGTTTGTTTCATATTAAACAATAACCTTCATCACTGTAAATCTCTTCACTGAGGTACAGAGAATGAACACAAATGTGAGTGCATTATTTCACATACCCATAAGTCTGATGTCAGATGAGCAAGTCTCTGGTTGACCTCTTCAACCATTTGGGGATCAAGTACTTCTTCTCCATGCATATCACTAGAATCAAATAAACCTTGCCATACTACTCCCTCTGATGCCTTGGGCAGGGTCAACTCCAGTTTATCATCATCTATTTAAAAAAAAAGGATAAGAAAAGAGGAGCTCCTCTCACAAAACATGAGAGACAACATTATTTTACAAGAGCAATGTGTTAATTAACCAAACGTTTAGATTTTCCCAAATTTATGAAAGAGTTCCATTTCTGACGAACCTTTATGAATCAGAATACTTTTCCCCATAGAATCTCACAATAAAAGCTAAGATAAGACCCCCCCCCCACAAAAAACTACAGTTAGTTCTATAACACTGCTCAGTAAGTCCCCGAAATATGCAAGAGATACGTTCTTGAAAACCCTTGCATAAACCATAATCACACATGTTCAATGGGAAAAAATTAGGATGTGTTCCATAACCCAAAACGAAAATATTTCAGACCAATTTTCAAAAAAATTTCAAGACAAACCATAAAACAAACCAATAAATATTATTTTTAAGATAATAGATAAAGCAAGGGTACAGTACAGTGTACTTAACAATAAAATCAGATACAATACATCAGCTTGGGTAGATGAAAAGCCTTACTCAGTATCCAAGTAACCAGATCAGCTTGGACAGGATTACTCAAGTGTCCAAAAAGAATATGGTGGTCCTGGACATGAACACTCAGCTCTTGTGCAGTAACCTGTACTTTTAAGTCCTTCTTGGTAGTTGAGCCAATGTTCATCCACACAGTAACATCCTCTGTTCAGAAGAGAAAAGTAAACATATATATGGTATACTGTACATGTTTATATATCCCCTTTAGCCAGAACTCCCCAAAACCTGGAATTGAAAGTGGCTCAGAATTTTTCCGGGAAACTCTCTCCATTCTGGGTTTGTGAACAAGTTTCCGAGAAAATTCCAGAAAATCTGTCATATAACAACCTAACTATTGACACATGAATTAGAAGTAGGTAGTAGGCAGCTATCAAACAGGGAGGTACTACTGCCTGGGAAGATATTGGAAGCACAATGTGTTGTCTAATGGTAAACCCTGCTGCCATATGGCATCACAAAAATTGTGACCAAGTCCTAGGTTGCTGATCTGACTTTCTGCCTCATTTACACACATTTGCAGGTCTCAATCGTTTCTCGTATTATTGACAACACAACATTCATATATCGTTTCTCACTATTGATCTTTTTTCATTTTTTCATTTCTTTATGGTTCTTTATTATTATTATTAGTAGTAGTAGGGGTAGTAGTGTAGTTATTGTTATTATTTTATTTATTATTTATTATAAGTTTTATTTACTGTGAACTTATTATTATTATTATTATTATTACATTTTTGCCCCCCAGGCCCAGATGTGGGTTAGTGACCTGTACCCGGGTGGGCAAATCCTCGTAAAAAAAAGAAGAAAAAAAAGTTACTAAAGTTAGACTGACTGCACATACTGTACATACCATTATTTTGCATGTAGGTAAACTTTGGTGCTTCTTCCTTCTTCTTTTCTGTAGGAGGATCAGGTTTTTTTAATGGTTGTAATGAGTCACCTATAAAAGAGTAGTTCTTATGGCACAGGACAATCAACCCTGAAGCTGTTTCATCTAAGGAACAGTATTCTAAAATTCCTTTTCCTGCAACAGTTCTAGTACGGCTTATTTCCCAAGTAGCACCTGAAAGTAAACAATAAGTATTTGAAAATTAAGTACTGTATACAGTACTGTACTGTATTAAGATTACAATAAAGAATATTTTCAACATAACAAACTTTTTGGGTGGGTCTAAACGTTTGTGTTGAACCAATATGGAGCCATATAATGTACTGTACAGTATACATATATATACTGTACTTACAGTTAAAGCTTTACAATCCAGCACTCACTGGGAAGTGACGGTGGGTGCCAGATGTTCACCAACTGTACGCTACTCTTAAACCTTTAAGGAACGTAGTCGCACTTACTTTAGGTATCTTATTCTGCCTTTTGCCAGACAATTTTATTCAGCAGAGAGGAACCACTACCACTCAATGGGTTAAAGATGGAGACTAAATATTTATCTTGGCCTTGATGTCATTGACTGCGGCTGAACTAACATTGTACTCCTGCATCAAATCAATGTGGCTTTTACCCTTCCCAAGGCAGCTGTATTTTTCTTATTTCTCTTTTAGAGTTCAAACTTTCTTTCACTATTAAGAAGAATGGTATCACTATGGCAATACCACAATGACAGACATAAACAAACTAACTGCAACAACTCTACTGTCTCCTTGGCAAACTAAAAATTAAAATAAATAAAAAGATATACAAATTGTAATGTATAATAAGCAATATACATTTCACTTATTTAATATAATACAAATACAGTCAAACAATCAGAATACCGTCCTCAAATCTAAGGGTTGGCGACCAAAGTCCTCCGCTCTAAACGTTCTCGAGCTGTTTTTACCAAAACTCTAAGTCTAAGGTTTTGTATCTCTCTGGGGACCCAGTTTTTAATATAATTCATCCATCCCAGTCTCTGCCTTCCCCTGGTCCTCCTACAGTCCAGTATGTTAAACGAATTGCTTTCAAAAACCGTGCACAAAACCTGCCACTATGCAAACAATGTAAACAAACCTTATGATGCAAGACTCAGGCTAGTGAACATGTTGGTAAACCAAGTATTTTTGTGTTAATTCATAAGTAAACCTTGTAAAATGATTGTCAACTGACCAACAAGAGACAGGAAACTGTTAGTTTAATGCAAAAATTGGTGTGTTGAAGCATTCTGAAATGGAGGAACAATTGTAGATATAACTAGTGCCCCTGCATGTATATGTGTGCGTGGTACAGGCCATCAAATGGATGCATTTTTTGGGGATCAAGGCTAGAATGGAACTGAGTACAATACTGTGTATTTGGATAAACCATTCCAGATTATTTTGATATAAAAATGGTGTTTCTAACTAAATTAGAATTTGTTTTATAGTCTCTAGTATAAACACTTCTTACATTTTTAGATAAAAAGATTGAATACTGTACCCATTATTATATGCATTTAATTTTTTTTAAGGATCTTTTATTGAAACATCCTTTTAGAGAACTTATTCAGAATCATTATGATGCCAAATTCATCTTTTGAACACAATTAGAACTGATGCTGTGGATAACATTTTACAGTACAGTACAGAATACAGTACACTTTTTTGCCTGTGGCTGAAGCCTTATACTGAATACAGTGGGGTATGCTATAACGAATCTAATTGGTTCTAGAACCTTGTTCGTTATAGCATTCGTTCGTTATAGGATTAATCCGTTCTAGGCCCCCAAATACAACCACTTAACACTGAAAAATATATAAAATTGTAAAAATTGTAAAAAGGTGCATAAATATGCATCTAAACCCCCGATATAAGGAATATCATTAATACTTGTAATAAAAGAAACAATAAATTAGTAAAAAAAAAAAAAAATTTTTTTAAATAATGTTCGTTGTAGGAGTTTCGTTCGTTATAGCATTCTCAATTTCATAGGTAAAACCGTTCGTTATAGGAATATTCGTAGTAGGATCCGTTCGTTATAGCATACCCCACTGTAATGGGGGTGATAAGTGTATCGTACAAAGTATAAGTTTGTTTCATATGGTATACATTTTTACTGCACTACAGTAGTACATATTAATAATAAAGTACTGTACTTATTAATTATTAACTTATGAGGTGGTTGAATCTTGAGGTAATGAGGCAGGAGGTGATTGTAAGACATTCCTAACGTACGTCACCAAAAGTGAAGCGGAAGTTATGCTTTCACTGTTAATTTCATTGACTACTGTTTCTACTGTACATACACTATATTTTTTTACACTTCTTTTTAAACTCAAAGAGACAGAAAATTTCCAGTAGCATAACTAACCATTGTAAGTAATGGTGAGCCAGTGTATAAGGTGAACAGCTGAAACCTTTGATTTCTCAAGTTTTTCGTCGACAATGACATACTGAGGATTGCTCATGAGATCTTGTGGTGTTGTGACAGAGAGAAGAAGACAATGGAGGTATCGCTTGTGATCGCTCCCAGCCTGCAGGCATGTATGGACGATGACGCTTTCTTCTGTACTGCTCTCAAAGCTTACCTGAAACAGTGGAACTGTACAATGAACACAAACCTGAATGTCAAATACTGTACACAGATGAGTGTGAGAGCTCAAAGCTGCATCTGCCACATAGTATATGAGCTGACTATCAGGTGTACACTCAAGTAAAGAACTACTGTACAGGAAACTACTAAGGTAATCTTCCAGGCTGTTGTAGACAACTGAAGTACAGTACTGTAAGTGCTTCTATTAAAACTAATTACAAAAATTATGAAATTGATAACTAACATTGAGTATGTCTTACCAGCCAGCTATGGGTGAGTGTTCTGTCTTGTGTCTCCAAGATGTGCAGACTACCCTGGCCATTGTTTACCACTGCTAGGTCATGGGAGGGGAAGTGTACACTTGCGTGATACTGTCCACTGCCAGCTCCATCCTCTTCACTCCCTTCTTCAGAGCTTCTTGATACATCTGCTTGCCACACCACTTCTCCAACACTCAATCTTGAATCCTAATCCGGAAATTTATTTCTAGTTGAAGGTTTATAACATATAGCATTTAATTAGAACTTACATTTTAAAATGACTCTCAACTGCCAAGAAGTCATCAAAAAATTAGTCAAACCAATTTCATACTACATATCACTCAAAATCAATAGTAAATTTATAGCTATTGTACAAAGTTATACACTGTACCTACCTCAGAATAATTACACTTGACAAGATGGCCTCTGTTACTGAAGTAGTACACACACAATGGATGAAAAGGATCTCCAAAGAAGTAATTGTGAAGGGCCTCCAGTCTTGTCCGAAGGTAACAATTAGAGCTATTTTTGCGTTTCTCAACTCCTGCAGAAATATTTGGGTTTTAAGAGATATGGTTTTTACTGTACAGTATCTTATATTATGATATAAGCTAGCAAGTTGTGTAGCCTTTCACTAAATCTGAGCCTGGGAGAGAAAAAAGATTTTATCAAGAATGTAAGTGGAGTACAGTATAGTGCTGTATAGTATTGTTATACAAAACTTTTTGGTTATAAAAAAATTGAAACATAGCCATCGTCCTAATTAAATAGCTATCAAAGGTCAGCGCAGCTATCTGCATGCGACCTATATAAAAATGCTATTGTTATCAAAAGTAACTTGGGTTGCTGGGCACAAAAACATAAAACTGAAGCATGTAGTACTATTTTGTTGCAAAAGGTGATGCAACAAGAAACCTGCAAGATATACCATACCATCATTGAGTACCCCTAGGCAGGGACTGCCAATACTTACTTACTCTACTGTATAATACTTTGCATCAGGGAAACATTATCCATGTGGACAGTATGCTCCAAACATAATACAGTAAAAAGGTAATGCAGTACATACTGTAGTCACCACTCTGAATACAGATTGTGGAGTTTCAGTCTCTGGTGCTGGAATGTGATACTCGGAGAACATTTATAGTGATAACTAAGGGAGGAGTATTAGCCTGTACTATACAGTATTTAGCTATTTCTAGCAGACACAGGCAGAGCTGACCCATGTACAGTAGTTACATTACTGTATTACTAAGGTTGATTATAGTGAGCTGCATGGCACAACTCTGGGTCATTTTTTATTATCCACCCATCACATTTTTTCTCATGAAAAATTTTTTTGGGGGCTAGTTTTCTTGCTGTTTTAGATAATTCTGACATTTATCTTTGGGGCAAATCACTTTTTTATTTTTAAGTTCCCACCCCCCTTCCACCCCAACAATGTAGGCGGCCACATTGGGAATGTGGTGTTTTGGGTGTGTGTGTGTGGGGGGAAGAGGGGTGAAAACGAGTGACTTTCACCAAAAATAAATGTCAGATTCATCTAAAGCACCAAGAAAACTAGCAAAAAATAAAATAAAATAAAAATTTTCATGAGAAAAAAGGTTAAAACTAAACTAGGTCTAGGTCTACGTCCTAACCTAACCAAACAGGCTGCGTCCTACTTAGCAGGGGGGCAAAAACCACCCGGACCCCGAAATGGAGCCGTGTTCTTTAGCCAGGGGGATGAAGGCACTGTCAGTGTAATACTGAAAATTTATGTAATTTCCATCCACTCACGCATCAAGGCGTGCTAACACAAACGAACGTATGAGAGCGATGTTGAGTGTCACCATAACATCAAATTGGGAATTAGAAAAATTTGTGATTATTACAACAAGTAAATTGCGAATATCACGTTTATTTTAAGAATGCCCCGCTAAAGTCAAGTATACTGTACATTCTTTCGTTTCTCGAAGAGATCTATTAAATGGTAAGAGGAAAAAAAGGTCATCGGTGGTTAACGAAAAATGACTCAACTCTGATTATATGGTCTTCCCAGAAATCCCTTTCTCTTTCACAAAATACACATAACTAAGCCAATTCTATCAATAGTCGATGATATTGTGGACAGTAAACAGCAACCACAGAATTCCGGAAATTCACTACACTCAAGCGATAGAACTATTTTTCCTATGATCATAGGTTAGGTTAGGTTGCTGTAATCTGCACTTTTACCGTGGGATTTTATAATTGTAAGATTTTGACGTTCATTTATTCAAAACTATGTTTTGATTAGTTTGAGAGTGCTATGCCTCATATAATTCATCACTAATAAGATGAACCAAACTAAACTACTGTACCTAACCTGACCTGAGGATCAAACAAACATGGCTGACCTCTGATGTTGCAGATATACAGTATACAGTATTCAAGAAAGAACATAAGAATGGAGGAAACTGTAGTGGGACTATTGGCCCATACTGGGCAATCCCATTTACACCCAACCCCTATTCCTCATTCGAGTTAATGATGATGTTTGGTAACTAGTTCCAGTCATCCACTACTCTATTTCCAAGCCAATTTTTACCTATTTTGTGTCTAAATCTAAATTTGTGAAATTTAAAACCATTGTTACAAGTTTGTGCCTGGTTGGATAGTTTGAGTACCTTTGTAATGTCCCCTTTGTTTAGCCCTGACTTCCATTTACACACCTCTATCATATCGCCCCTCACTCTGCGTCTCTCGAGGGAGTGCAAATTAAGATGCTTTAACCTGTCTCTGTACTCAAGGTTCCTAATGCCTGGGATTTTTTTACTTTTCATAGTGGATATTTTGCCATGAACGGCTAAGTTCCTACTAATGCTATTTTACCATGAGTGCGCTTTGATTGGCTAAATACTTTCTGCTTAATATGACGGGGGGTCCGCCTCCTGGCTAGGAAGTTAGGTAAGGTTAGGTAGGTTTCTTTGGTTGGTTAGGTCAGGTTCTATTAGGTTCTAGTAAATGTCGCCTCTTTTATAATATGTTTCCATAAACAGCAGAAATATGGTTAGTTATGTTTAAGGCTACACAACGATCGATTCATGGTACCGGTATGGAATTAAAATTACTTATTACAAAATTAAATAAAAATTCCGCAAAGGTGTAGTAAAAATTCCTAAAATATGTAATTTAGTTACATAAGACGGTCAGTTATTCCTATAGTTCTGGGTGAATAATGTTTACTATTGTCCACAACTTGAGTGACATAACCTTAGGAAAGCCATTGATATTTAGTACTAAGAAAGTTTATTTAAGGTTTACTATCGGAAAGAATAATAAATTACCAATATTTATCACAAATAATATTAGGGTGGTGTTAGTTTACACATATGAGCTGATGGCCTCATATTAATGACAGCTTTAGGGAAGGCTGAGTGACTTACCTTCAGTTAGTGGTTGGGTGTAAAGGGTCACATTAGCTTCAGAGGACAGTTTATACCCATCAAAGTTGGCATTAAGAAGCTTGGGGTTAGGCTTCAGCGTCACAGTCTTCGACATTATCAACACACAATTTTTATACAGAGCTTCAAATAAAACACCTTTGACTTATAACTCTATTGCTGCTTTAATTCACTCTCCACTCAAATCACCTCACAGCCACTAACACCTGACAGACACTTGGACAACACGAGTCCCGAGAGACCACCTTATGACGTCATTACCATTGATGATGTAATATGGTTTTCAATTGAATGAATACCTGTACTCATTTAGTCTCGACATTAATCGTTATAACAAATGTTTCCAGAAATACTGAATTTTAACGTGCACTGGGCAACTGACTATGACGTGAATTATACATTTGTGATAGCTTACACGCGTGAATGTATGAGTTTTAACAGGCAGGGGGTACCATATCTTTACGTCACTTAATAGGATGATATCATATGATTATTAATTTTCATAGGTATGTGTACTGTATATATACTGTACAGTCTGTCCTTATAGTACATGGTATCGACACATACCAACCCGGCAACCGTTCGTACGATTAGTAATCCAAGCGGTGAAACGATAAATGAATATAATAGTTAACCATTTACAGTTATCATTTTCTTTTATTGTATCGTCATCAAGAACATAGAAGGAGATTCTTAAATATTTTGTAATTTCCCCACTTTATTCTCTTCGTCATTGATCGACCACTTATCAACTTGCTAGCCGTTCAGTCATATGGTCTTTTTTTTCTACTTTGTTATAACCTTTATTTTACGGTCTTATGACAGCCGATCAGTGGCGAAGAGGGTAATAATAACAAAGTAAAAGGAGTATTAAGAGAAAATCTTCGATGCTTGTTCGGGTCACCTCTGGGTAACATCATCTTATCCTTTTCGCCACTGATCAACTCGTTAGCCACTTGGGCGGTCGGTCACGTCTCTGTTACGCACTGTTGGCAAGTACTGGGCATGAACTGGCTCCTGAATGTATCTGAACCTGCTACAGTGCTGGTCAAGTCTGGTCTTGTATGAGCTCACACTCGGCGCCATCACAATACTCTTTGGCAGATTGTTCCAAGAATTCACAACTATCATCCCGAAAAAAACTGTCCTGGCAATTTTCTGAATTTGTGGCTTCTTCAACCTAAGTTGTGACCTCTAGCCAGCTCCAGGTATGAACAGTCATCTATTGAGTAATGTCTTCTGGGAAGTTTAGAAACTTCTGTTAAGTCATCCATTTCTTATAGCCCTCTTAGTTATCACATCGTTTTTATGACATACAATTATCCAAAGAACATCTGTGGAACTGCTCCTCCAGGTGTTAGCCGTCTGCTCCGCCTTTACCTCTTTCTTTTTAAGGGGGAACTTTTATGACGCAATTTAAATGGCTGTTCGAAATGATAAACATTTTCCAAGTTAAAGAACTTTAATTGTTTTAAAGACGATTTCTAGAGGCGGTGTAATGGTCGGTGTCAAACCTGTGAACGAGTTTAGAAAGTTATATTAAGGGATTTATATCTTGTGGTACCATGGTTCACTATTTCGATATACTGTGCTGAGATACTTTGACAAAAGTGGACCAGTTTGACAGATAACTAGATAGGGATTTATTCAGTAAAATCACCACACAGGTCAAATTGATTCAGCGTGTACAGTACATAGACAGTTCTGGTATATAATGTTCATAGACAACGCAAGTATACAATGTCGATAGACAATGCAGGTATATCAACACTGGTAAATGTTAAGTGGTATCGACCGAGGATAGGACACTAATGCGCATTTTAATCTAGAGAGTATGTGTATGGTATGGGACTCTGTCATACTAATACATATTAGCTCATAAAATGTGAGAGACCCGACACATTACAGAGGGGAACAAACACCCAAGCCACTTGACCTCATCATAACAAACGAGGAGGGTATGGTGGCCAAACTGGAACACCTTGCCCCAGTTGGCACCAGTCACCATACAGTGTTGTCATTCAGATTTAACTGTTACCTAGTTCAAGATAAGGCCAGGCCAAGGTGCAAATATTACAAGGGAAATTACAATGGGATGAGGGAAGAGATGAGGGGTATCAACTGGCCTGACTTATTAAGGTACAAGAACGCAGACACTACGCTGAATATCATAACTAGTAAAATGACCCATTTGATCGATAAATATATACCCAAGACCAAACCCAGTGCTTCTAGGAATACGAGGGGATCCCTACACATGAACCATGCGGCGGTCGACAAAATTAAGAAGAAAACCCAGAAATTCAAGACGTGGGTTGGGTCAAACGATGAGCAAGACAGGAGGATGTATGCAAGAGCCAGAAACCAAGCAAAGATAGAGTGTAGGAGGGCTGAAAAGGAGTTCCAAAGGCTGGTTGCACGCGAGGTCAAGTCAAACCCAAAGGCGTTTTACCGCTATGCAAAGTCGAAATTGAAAACGCGAGTAGGAGTATCAGACCTGAGGCTTGAAGATGGTAGTTACGCAGATTCTGACCAGGATAAAGCTGAGGCATTGAACAGCTTCTTTTCCTCAGTGTTCACAAGAGAGGATGCAACTAACCTTCCTGCGTTTGAGGACAGACGGTTCGACACAGCACTGACCCACATTGTGTTCACAGAAGAGGGTATTAGAAATAAACTGTCCAGGCTAAAGGTCCATAAGAGTCCTGGACCTGACATGGTGCATCCTAGAGTGCTAAGGGAGCTGTGCAACGAGCTTGCAGAGCCCCTGAAGATTCTGTTTTGTAAATGCCTGGATGAACAAATGGTCCCCAGTGAATGGAAAGTGGCTTATGTGAGTCCTATCTTCAAGAAGGGCGATAGGCACTCCACGAACAACTATAGACCGGTGAGCCTGACCAGCATAATATGTAAAGTACTTGAGAGTATTATCAGAGATGCAGCGATGGAACATCTACTACGAAACAACCTTGTAAAAGATTGCCAACACGGTTTTATGCCGGGGCGCTCTTGCTTGACACAATTGCTCAAGGTATTGGATATTTGGACCCATATTCTAGAACGGGGTGGTAATATCGACAATATTTACCTAGATTTTGCCAAGGCTTTCGACAGTGTACCCCACGAAAGGCTGAAAATCAAACTGGAAGGGTACGGAATTCGGGGAAATGTCCTAGCGTGGATAGAAGACTTTCTACATGACCGCAAGCAATGTGTGGTGATTAATGGCACGAAATCGTCATCTGTACCTGTAACAAGTGGGGTACCGCAGGGTAGTGTATTGGGCCCGCTGTTGTTTGTTTGTTTCATAAATGATATGCCTGACGTTGTACACTCCTCCATACAAATGTTTGCCGATGACGCCAAGTTATTTCGGGAAATTAAGAACCAAGCGGACTGTGAAGAGCTGCAGAAGGACCTCTGTGGGCTCCAGGAATGGTCGAAGGAATGGCTGCTGAGATTCAATGTCACGAAGTGTAAGAGGATGCACCTGGGGCGTACCAACGGTAAGGAGGCGTACCATATGTCCCAACGGGATGAAGAAAATGTACTAGTTGAGACTGTGTGTGAGAAGGACCTAGGTGTGTATGTTGACAATGAGCTGAAGTTCTCGGGCCATTGTGAGAAGAAGGTAAATCAGGCAAATAAATTATTGGGTCTTATAAGAAGGTCGTTCAGATATCTAGACGGTCCGTCCCTCGTGACGATCTTCAGGAGTGAAGTGCTTCCCCATCTGGAGTACTGTCACCCCATCTGGTCCCCGAGATATGCTAGGGACTGTCAGTTGGTTGAAAATGTTCAAAGGAGGGCCACCAAGCTGGTGCCTGCACTTCGGCATCTCAGCTACCCTGCGAGATTGGAGCGCCTGAACTTGCCTAGCTTATACTACAGACGGGCAAGGGGGGACCTAGTTGAGGTTTATAAGCATCTCAGGGGGCACTACTCAGTTGAGTGTCCTTACTTGGAGCTGGCGGACGCTCGCCCCACAAGGGGTCACAGCTCAAGATTGAAGAAGCCGCAAGTCCGGAAAACCGTGAGGGCAAACTTTTTCGGAGTGAGGGTTGTAAACTCTTGGAACAATCTACCAGAGAGTGTTGTGACGGCACCGAGTGTGAGCTCTTTCAAGAGAAGACTTGACCAACACTGGAGCGGGTTCAGGTACATTCAGGAGCCGGTGCATGCCCAGTATTTGCCAACAGTGCGTGACAGAGACGTGACCGATCGCCCGGGCGGCTAGCGAGCCGACCTTTTGGTGAAGAATATAAAGGAAAAGAGTCGTGACCGATCGCCCAAGCGGCTAACAAGCCGATCAGTGGCGAAGAGGATAAAAGTAAAAAAAAAAAAATAAAATGTGAAATGTTATATTTTAGGCTTGAATAAAACCGTTGAAAAGCAGAGAAATATAAGAAACTTTTTCTATTATTCAAAATGTTATATACTGTAAATAAATACAAAAGGCAGTCAGCGAAAAGGATAGAAGTGATGGCGTTGTCGAACAGTTGGCACAGTGAATTGTTCCTTCATTAGTATTGGTGTTATAATATCCGTACAGGTTGGTTCACTCGCTGGTAGTCTCGCACTCATATAACTTATTGACGAAACCATTTCTATATTAGCAAATGTTCGCTGTAATATGTTCACCTTCAATGGCTTCAGTCTCCTGGCGAATGTTTGCCTTAAGGTCATCAATGATCACTTCCTAATTAGTGTTTTATTGGTTCTTGATTTGCATTGAATAAAATGTTATTATATTTTAATTATATTTTTGTCTCAGCATCCTAAAGTATAAACAATATTTAATAGGCTGTTATCGTATATAAATCGTTATCAGTCTTACTATATTAATATATAAATTGTACTTTTATAATAATATTTATACCATCACTTGACACACTACTATGCTAGAACTTTATCTACTATATGTATGGTTCTTCATTGGGAGGAAGAGTTAGATGAAGATCAGTGGAAGGAAAACGAAACAGTAAAGTGACGGAAGTATTAACGAACACCAGTAACACACACACACACACACGCGCGTGCAGTTAAGAGGATGGAGTCAAGAGAGAGCTACATTATTCATAACACATTTTAAGTTCTGATATTTATCTCTACGACACAGCAGGAAGCTACAAGAATTACTTCAACGTGTCCAGAACTAGCAGTCCGCACGGTGCACCGAGTAGAGCCAGGGTAGTACACACTCGTCATGGTTAACACGTGCTTGAGGACGAAACAGCAGGAGGAATAAACCTTTCGAGTCCCCTGTGACAGGTTTTCCATTTCCTGTATAATTTAGTGCATGTAGGCTTTGGTGTCCTCTTCCCTGTCTCATAACTGACACGTGTCCTTGGCTACCCTTTTCACTTCACTTCATTCAGTGGACGTAAACACCCGACTCTCTCTGCTCTTTTTCAACCAGTTTGTAAAAACTATCATACCGTGCTGTACCTCGGAGAGGGAGTTCTAACAACTGCCAACTGCGGTTTCAATACCATTCAGTGGTATAGATGTTTACTACAGTATTCCATTTCTACCTCATTCAT